AACTTCTGGCAATAACATGCTGCCTTTTGAGGAGTCAAGAGGAGCAAACTGTCTAGGAACAGGACGAGGAGTTCGATGCTTCACAGCTGGTTAGGAACATTTTATATTTATCTTTCTCTACATCCTCTTTATATTACTACTTGAGTACACCCAGTGTCCTTGAATATACTAATGAGATTCGGGGAAATTACAGGTGACAGTCGTGTGAACGAGCAACCTGGCTTGACTGCTATTCATACTATCTGGATGCGTGAACACAATCGCGTTGCTCGCCAACTAAAGGCTCTCAACCCATCGTGGAATGATGAAACTGTGTTCCAAGAGGCTAGAAGGTTTGTGGTGGCAGAGATGCAGCATATCACATACAACGAATGGCTACCCATTATCGTCGGTGAGATATTTTTATTCCGTATTTGAAAATACATGTAAATAAGGCCTGGCGCTTTAGAGGATATTTCATAAAATCTATGATACATATTACTGCCAATATATATTCATTCTCATGTTTAAGTTGAAGCAAAAGCAACACTATGAAAAGAGGATATCTAATGTCAGTGTACCTTTCCCTGCCTTTTACAGGTCCAGCTTTCATGCAATCGTTTGGCATCAATGTGCGAACAAACGGCTTCAGCTTTGACTATAATCCCAACTTCAATCCCAATATGAACAACGAATTTGCCACCGCCGCCTTCCGTTTTGGCCACACTCTGGTAAATGGAAATCTTAGGTGAGAGAAAATCATTATTTTCTGATGAGAGGGACTTCCAGTTTTTCTGTACGGCTCAAAAGATTTTATACCATTAATTCGTGCATTTAACTTGATGCCACAGTTATCAAATATTTTACTTCATTTTTAGACATTTTAATGAGTCTGGATATTGAAGCTAACCGTATTTCCTGCCTTTCAATCCAAGGCTCTTTGGCCCTGACGGAAGTGTGAGCACCATCCAGCTCCGCGACCACTTCCGGTCTCCCCATCTCATCCAGCAGCCAGGTATGCTGGACGCCATTACACGTAGCTTCATGCAGCTGCCAATCCAGAAATTCGACAGTTTCATTACGCAAGATTTGTCCAACCATCTGTTCCAGGTTTGTATGAAGTTGATATGTAGACCTATCGATATTGAAAATCAAATTTTCTGTTTCCAAGCGGTAAATAGTATATGGGATAGTTATATTTTTTATTTGATTAAAATTCACACTCTTGCTGATCTGAACTGAAGATAGTTACCCCATGTTCTGTCTCACAATATGTATAATCTGATAACTTTTACTACCACTCGCAGACGCCCAGAGTAAACTTCGGAATGGATCTGATGAGTCTGAACATCCATCGCGGCCGTGACCACGCCATTGCTACGTACAATGACATGCGCCAGATCTGCGGCCTCCGACGGGCAACATCATTCGAAGATCTTACAGATCAGATCCCTGGCGGAGTTAGTAACTTCCTATGGTGTGAATGGTCCAGTCATGAGAAGTATGAAGTACTTGTATCAAACGCAAAGATTATTCTTCAGTGCATCAAATCTTTCAGTACATAATTTCTCCCTTTCGTTAATACAGATTGTCCAGAACCTTCGCCGTGTTTACCAGCATGTAGATGACATCGACTTCTTCGTGGGTGGCATAGCCGAGCGGCCTGTGTCAGGCGGGCTCCTTGGCTGGACCTTCCTGTGTGTGGTTGGTGACCAATTCGCCAGACTGAAGAAAGGAGACCGATACTTCTATGATCTCGGGGGACAACCCGGCTCGTTCTCTGAACGTAAGTCTCTACAGCCATTATCTATATTTAGTTATAAAGCACACACTCATGTACACACGCACACACACACACACACACACACACACACACACACACACACACACACACACACACACACACACACACACACACACACACATATCAGAGAGAAAAAAGACAGACGTAAAAATATATATGTGCTTGCATTCCGTTTATTTAGTCTTATCCATTTTCTTTCTAGCTCAACTGCAGGAGATTCGGCGGGCTTCCTGGGCGAGAGTCCTTTGTGATAATTCGGATAACATCCAAGCCGTCCAGCCCCTTGCCTTCCAGCTGACCGGAAGTCAATTGTAAGTGTTTTCTGCCTGTAGAGATGATGAATGTAAATGGAGGAGCTTATTTAAGATTTACAAGTATAGCAGGAGTTAAGTGCCACGCATAATATTCCTTCCGCTGATCTCTTCTCTTTTTTTAACAGCAATCAGCCTGCTGACTGCCGCGGGCCAATAATCCCAAGACCCAACCTTCAATTGTGGCGAGGCGAGCGCGTGGGATAAGGAATAAAGTAAATTATTTGAAACGTTGCCTGCGACACACTCAGCATTGCGGCATTTTCATCTCGATTCATCTCGAGAACATCGTGGGTTTCTGGATTATAAGCGATATTTGTAAACCATTATTGTTATCAGTACTTTTAAATAATTCACCAATGAATAAGAAAATATATCTAAAATGGAAATAAACAGTACATAACAATATATTTTTTTTACTCCTGACACCTCCTTGCTTCCTGTTTTCATACGCTGTAATTTCTTTATTGAGTTGTTTCCAGTACGCTACATTGTGTTCCGGCATGACTTTCAGGCTACACGCAAGTATTAAGTATCGTACGGAACACTTGCTAGACGTAGACGTAACGACTGTTTTCGTTTGACTAATTGCCATGTTCATCTTGAGTTGTGGAGGATCTATACAACTATTTTTTTTTACTGAAGATATTCTAGAATGTTTCTATAAATATTATAAATAATCACATTTACTTAATATAACGTGGAGTGTATGAGAAAGCTCAAGTGATCCCCGGGCCCTCACTCGAATGGTACCAGGTGTTTGTTTGTTGCCTTGCTAGGGGAATAGGTTCAGACCATTTGTATACTGAAAGTTCATATTCAAAGTGCAGTAAGTGGTGGCATAAGTGCTAGTGTAATAAGCCCTTAATGCATAACTGCTTCCAAACTACCCACCTACAACTTTTCAAGTGAAGAAAACTAATTAAATGGTAATGTAGATGTTCGTTTTTGTGGAATAAAAGCAAAATATAATATATTGCAGACATGCATATATATAAGAATAAGAAAACACACGAATATGTAGAGGGCCCTTTTGCTATATAGGAAAAGGCATACAAGATAAGGGAATACATGGAAGTACTGAGAGGTCACATCACGTCTGTAATTTGGCGTGCAAAGACTTTGATTTGTTTGTGGCTCCCCTTTCCGGTTTTGAAGTTGTTGGTTGAATGGATTTTGGCTGCTTCAACCATCTTCCTTTGTCGTGGTGGTAGAGCTTGTTTTATGATGCGGGTCTCAGACCACTTAGAGAGATGGGTATTAGTGCCGACGTGAAAAACATGACGTAGGATATCGTTGCGGTGTTGGTCGGTTTGTTGTTCGTGAAGTCCTCGTCCTGTTCTGAGATTGTAATAATTACTTTTCTTGACAAACATTAGTACTGTAAAGGAGAAAAGCTGTGGAACATTTTGATTGAACTAAAATCAGTGGATCGGGTTTATTATCTTGGTAATAAATGTGTATGTACAGTTGATTTCAAATGCTAAGAACATATAAGTCCAAGCTACCAAATATAGAAATTATTCATTTCGTCGACGTTAATGATACCGATAGAGTAAAGAAAAAAGAAACTACTATAAATCTAAGCTATGGCAGCCTCTTCGACTCGATATCTTCCAACGGCAAATGTGAAATGATACTAAAAAAAGTGTTCGATGATAATTCATGTGTACTAAAGTCTTCGCATATGTTGTCGCCGTTGGAGTATCTTTTATAAGACATTTTTTAAGCTTAGATATAACCTTTGGAATGATTCTATGTGCATGAAATCAACTAGGGATAATATTAATAATATAGAAAGACAGAAAATAGAAGATAGATATAAACGAAAAATATTGAAGGCACTTATGTTAAAAAGTGCTGGTGCTTGCATCGAATCTGCTGGCGTGTAGAACCCGGCGGTCACTGCTGAGGAGAGACCAGCAATGACGTACAATGTTTTGTCAACTAGAGGCGTAACTAAAACAAATGCTCCCGAATTTTTCGTCGAAAATTACGACACGAGATTGTCCGATATCTTAGATGATGTAATAGGAGAAGGAAAAATATTAGGGTTAGCTTGTAGTGATCAAATTACATACCATGGATTTTTAAAAAGCGTAAATTTCTCACTTCCATCACCCGTTTGATACGTTTCGAAACGAGCGTATGTCCAAGCCTGGAACTTCCGTGCAGGAACTTTTCGTTGTCACTTCGACCCGCGAGACTGAGTTTTGGTTCTCAGATTTTGCACATGAAATGGTTTCTAACTTTATTTAAATAGTCTTATTATATTCATAAATACTAGTTTTTAGTTTGTTCATAACACAAATAAATGTTCCATGAAATTAAATAGCTAAAAAAAAAGAACCATCATGTAAGGTGTATATGAAAAAAAAAGTTTATAAAATGTCCACTGTACAATGTGTGTAAAACCTTCATAATAGTCCATATAAAAGTAATGAAAAGATCATTAGATAATATGTTTCTTTTTGGTAATTCATTTTCTTTTCATGTGGTCTGTTTCTTTCGGCTCAGATTAGTTGTAAAACACAATGTGATTTTTAAAAATTAAAATAACACTAGAAACGAAGTAAAAACAGCAAAGAAAGCAAATACAGTGAAGCCGCACAGGTGAGACGTTCCAGGTAGGCTTCCCGTTTTCTATGGCTCGCAGCCTCCTCACCGCTACGAGCATCCTCAACCCCAAGGGATAAAAGCAGGGGCATTGAGCTATCTCGGAGGCGCACGGGTCTGCAATCTCCGTCTTGGAGCGAGGATGGACGTCGTCTTTCCTCTTGTACGGGGGTGGGGGATGAAAGACATATGTCGGGGACCGTGGGGAATGTATACAGGATGTCCACTACAGTCTAACCTGTTCACCAAAGATAGAGATCCGTCTATCTTCCATGCACAAAGTTTATGTTAAACACAAACATGTTGATTGTATCGTTAAAGTCGGAATCTTGAGCCATTTTAAAAATTTTAATGAATTAACACCCACTCACAACAGAGTTACAGAGAAATAAACCAGTCAGATCAAAGGCTACCACCATCATCTCTAGTGTGATCAAGACGTCACTGAGAGACCGACCCTTTGTTTCCGTTGTAAGTAATACCAGCGGCGGCGTGGTTTTTGGTTGAATCTATTCGCAGATATATATTTTTTTAATGTGATGATATATACTGATACAATGTTGGTTTCTTTCCCTAATGCAATTAAATTGTTAACCAATATTATCACTATTATGAAAAGATGAGTGTTGATTGATTTCGTAAAATATTAGTAATAGCAATCCGGGCCGAATATATATTTGCTCATAGTTAAAATGGCTAGAGAAATAAAAGAAACCGCATCAGCATTTAAAAGTATTTAGTGATATTCCTCACTCTGACGCATTGGAATATTGTCTTTAGACCTTTAACAGGAAGTGGGGTAGGACTGTGACAATTTCATTTCCTGCCGAACGTAACTAACTAAAATTTTTTTTATTGAACTAATATTAGTGGATTGTATGTATTATTTTGCTAAAGCATATACATCCATGGATGAGTTTCGCTGACTTCTAAGAACATATCAGAAATCCAGATCACTATATGAGGTATTTTATTTTGATAATCCAAATGCCAAAGGAGTAAAAGAACATGGTTTGATTGTAATCTATGTCGTCCAGCGTTTTGTCGACTCTACAATTTGTTCCTACAACGAACGCGAGGAAATTATTACATCTATGCTAAATGAAAATTATGGTGCGTTCGAAACTGCTCGTCTATCTCGTCCAGACCAGTTGGACGAGATGTTTTGACTGTTTGGAACCTCCACTATCTCGTCCCGGACAAGTAGTCTAGCTCGTCCAACTCGCCCTCCTGCGAAGGTGGGCGAGCAGGACGAGATGACGTCACAATAGCATTTGTATGTAAACATTGACAGTTGCAGGTTACCACAAGATATTGGTGGGTAATTTTATGACCCTTTATTGGTGTTATCAAAGGATATTTTTGTGTTTGTCAGTTGCAGGTTAAGTTAAATACGCATCAAAGGAGTTGTAAAACCTATGCAGCGTGTAAAATAAAGACCGGTATGATAAAAAAAAGTGAATATACATTCGAGCCGGTTGCATTCTGGGCAGAAAGGGTCTTGGAGGTTCCGAACGCGGCCCACTTGTCCTGCTGGTCCTGGACAAGATGTCTGGACGATCAAGACGAGCAGTTCCGAACGCAGCATTAAGTGTACAAAGGTCTTGCAATACCGTGCCATCGCTGGAGTATCTCTGTTATAAAACAGTCTCTAACTGTAAAGATAATATTTGGAATGATTCTACACACAAAATGTCCAAAATCAGTCTGGGTTGAAATAAATGATAATATAGAACTACAGAAAAACAGACGGTGAATATAAAAGAAAATTATGGATGGTAATAATTGTATTTTAAACGGGTACATAATTACTCAGTCGACATATTCCTGGCAATCAATCAAGCAAACAATCACGGCAGCTCGTCGGGGTCAAATTCTAATTTGGTGTAGCCTCAAATAACATCAAAAACTTTAATCACCGTGCAAGTTAGTTTACACAACTACGATGTTTTCCGTTGGTCATAATCGCCTTGCCTCATATTTATTCATATCTATCTTCTAATAATCTACACGGGAGAGGACATTGTGCTTACTCACACAATAACTGGTTCTCTTTGTCCGTTGATCAACGCTGCAGCAAACCAGACTGCCGAAACAATTCCGTCAATTAAAAGCGCTTTTGATTATCCGGAACCAATAAATCAGGGCAACACACTGACAGTGGCTGTCGGCTTTTAAAACACGTGGGTGTGAACTAAACTATGCAAGAACACCCGTCGCCAATCTACAGCCTGTATATACAAGAAGGAATGCGCCTGTATTTGATATCACCAGGAGGGAGACATTCTAACAAAAGAGAAGATATTACAACTTTTTTCAGCACAATAACTCTAAATCAGATGACATCATTTTGAAGCAACACTAGTGAAAGATAATGTATATATCGTAGGTATTTTTTTAAATTCAAGATATGTGGGTGAAGCTCTTTAAAATGTGTGGTAGACGAAAGCTTTAGACATAGAGTTAGGGACATTTCTAACTGGTGCACCACGAGTCTGGAGATGACATTTTATATCTGGCTATACATGTATATTATGTAATATTCTATAAGGGAAATAACTGCTTGGCTGAAATCATTTTACAATAACTACATCGGGATGGAAAGGAAGATATACATATATACATGTTTGAATTAGTTAGACATAACATTTATTACATGTTCCGTAACACAAAAGAGACATCATGCTTCTTGCTTCTCTTAAATTCAGAGTTTCAAAGACTTGAGTTGCCATAGTGTTCTCCCTTTCTTCTTAAATAGTAAACCAGTCTTTTAAGCTATACTTGTTTGTT